CCCTCTCCCTCTCCCTCTCCCTCCTCCCTCTCCCTCTCCCTCTCCCTCTCCCTCTCCCTCTCCTCTCCCTCTCCCTCTCCCTCTCCCTCTCCCTCTCCCTCTCCCTCTCCCTCTCCCCTCTCCCTCTCCCTCTCCCTCTCCCCCTCCCTTCCTCCTTCCCCTCCTTCCCTTCCTCACAGGCTTGCTCGCAGTCATAAGAACCACTCCGCTGATCCAGCCCGTCGATCACATTCCCCTCATGAACTCGAACAGCGGCCATGGCTTTCTCCCTGTCATCGCCGAGACCAACGGGGCCGGCCTGGGCTTGCCCAACAGCACCGCCAGCTCGGAATCAGCTGAGTCCCCGGAATGGAATGGTGTAGAGCGGCAGTTATCAGGGGACGTCTCCTCGTCAGCAGGAGGGGACAACTTTCAGCTCACTAGAGAGCTCAAGACCCTCCTTCTCGCCCACCGCAAACAGGTCAGCCCAGGGGATGAGGGCCCCAGAGTTGGTCACTGTGCTAGTAATGTCCCCGGTCCGATCAGGGGGAGGGGGGCCGGGGGGTGCCGAAGTTCACTCAGATTCCCGCTGAGAAAGGTTGGCAGGTGATGGAGGACGTTTCTAACCTGCTGAAGGACAACACGGAGCTGATCATAAAGGAGATACTTCTCGAGCTCGAGGGGGAAGAAGAGTGACCCGGTTGCCAGACACTGCGGGAGGGGGGGGGCAAGTGTATCAGTAGTGTATCATAAGCTTTTGGAACTCTATATGGTCTTATTACTTCAACGACTGACTGACGTTCCGAACTTTGAGAGTCTCCGCGGCGAGTCTCAGGCTGGCGAACGGCGGCAGCGGGCCCGGGCCTGTCCGATCGGCAGTGGCACGGGCCTGGCGGTGCCGGCGGTAAAGGGCTCTAAAAGGGCTGTAAAAGAAAAAAAGAAGTTATCGGGGACAAGTTGATCCAGAGAAATGCGATGCAGAGGAAGGCAAGGAGGACGAGGAGGATGAAGACGAGGAGGACGAGGAGGAGAGCGATGTAGACACTGATGAAGATGCAAACGTCCAACACGAGGCCAACCCAGACCATCCTGCGCCCTCACTGACAAGGACGCGCTGGGATCTTCGCTTGTCGACCATGCAAGGGGGGAGAACCTGCGGTTGTCTGTGCAATATTTCGGCCATGCTGTGTTGCTTCTTGACTTCACTGCTGGTCTACTCGTCAACAAGATACCGGGGGGTCCCGGGAGGGGACGCAGGAGAGCTGATGGCAATGGCGTGTACTGGTGGAGTAGCGCACCCCCCAGGGTATCCCTTGCTGACGATGATTGGGAGAGCATGGCTGGCGATGCTGTCACATGTCGACATGCCGCCCTCTTCAAAGCTCGCTCTCCTCTCCTCCTTTTTGGGTGCTGCTGCCGCCAGCATGCAGTTCGCAGCCGCCGAGTCCCTCACGGGGGACGTTGCATGCAGCGTATTTGCCGCTGGTCTCTTTGCGTTTTCCAACACGGCATGGAAGTTCAGTACTCAGTTCGAGGTCTTCGCGCTCAACAACATCTTCTCCTCCTCCATCCTCCTCCTCACCCTTCACTTCCTCCGCCACCAGCGGGGCTGGACGCCCCTGCTCGGGTCGTTCCTGTGTGGCCTTGCTCTTACGAACCAGCACACAATCGTTGTGCTCGTCCTGGTTTCCGTCGTCTTTGCAGTCTGGAGGAGTCGGCTCAGTCTCCTGCATCCGAGGAGGATGCTTGTGCTGTTGGTTCTGTTCGTGCTGGGGTTGAGTCCATACTGCTACCTCTTCGTTGCAGGTAGTCAGCAGATCTCTCTGTTGGATGACTCGTGTTCGAACCTGAACAATCTTCTTCTTTTCATGCATCTGCTACCGTGTTTTGTCACTTGTCGTCTTGTAAGTCTCTGTTTGTACCTCTCTCACCATGTTTTGCGTGTTCGTTGCCTGTGTTGTCTTCGCCAGCATTGTGCATGTTCCGTTGTTCCCATGCTCTTCTGCTCTGCTTCACCTGTCCCCATCATCCTCTGCTCTGCTTCACCTGTCCTTGACTATCGCGTCAGGGTCTCGACCTCCCATGGGGAGTTGGGGATTGTTTCAAGATATGAGAGGACTATTGCGACATGTACTGAGAGAGGAGTATGGAACTTTCCAACTTTACACGTCTGGTCGATCAGGTATTGTTCGCTAACATTTTGATCCACCCTGCTGATCTGGACTTGTCTTGCTCCTGCTCCCGCTCTCTCTGAATCTGTTGAGCAGAGCTCTCCAGCAACACCACAAGCGTTCAGACGTGGGAGAGCAGATGGAAGAGGAACGTCGCTGACTACTGGAGCAACTTGAACGAGGAGACGGCAGGAGTTGGGCCATTCTTGTTCGTTCTTGGACTCATTGTACGTGTGACGATGTTTTCAAGTCTGCCTGCCTGCCTGCCTGCCTGCCTGCCTGCCTGCCTGCCTGTCTGTCTTGACTCATGCTCGGATGATTGTCTTTTGTGCTATTACAGCTTCTGCTTCTGGCAAAGGATGCAAACCAGGTCACAGGAGGGGCGTACCTTGTTGTTTACTTGGCCGTTTACATGGCGATCTTCACTTCACTCGCAAACCTTCCAGACTCCGTGAATGCTGCATCTTTGACAAAGCTGGTTTTGTGATGTTCGTAAATCAGAAATTCTACGATGATATCTTGAGAAGGTTCTGGATGCAACCAAATCAAGTGGGTCAGCTTGCTTCACTGAGTGATTTGGCTCATCCTTGTCGTGCAAGGTTGTTTTCCTCGTCATAGCCTACGGAGCATCGACAAGTGTCCAGAGCTTGCTCAATGTGCGGGCTGGCCAGTTTGTACGTCCTGTCGTGTTAGCAGGTGCTGAATTCATGATTGTTGATTGATTTGACCTTTGATCGGTTAGCAATCATTGCTTTGCAACTGATGAGAAATTTTCCTCGAAGGAACATGTACAACAACATGATAGTGCACAGGTGAAAAGCGATTGTCGAACCAAGGGAGTGAAAAAAGAAGAACGGAGTAGGAGGAGAGGAGTGGAGAGGAGAGGAGAGGAGAGGAGAGGAGACAGGAGAGGAGAGGAGAGAGGTTGAACAGGTCATTTGAAGATTGATACAAGGATCATGAACGAGGGATTGATAACTTTTGACATGATTCGTCAGGTTTGCACTGGACCAGCTTTCTGCGCTTCCTCCTCATTCTATAGCTCTTTGCTCGGGAGATCTCAACTATTTTCCCGTCCTCTACCTACGAAGCTGCGAGAGGTCTGCTTCTGTGCCTTCTTGTGCTCCTGCTCCTGCTCCTGCTCCTGCCCCTGCCCCTGCCCCTGCTCCTGCCCCTGCCCCTGCCCCTGCCCCTGCTCCTGCTCTTGCCCCTGCTCCTACTCCCCTTTCCCTTCACACCAATACATCTCTGTGCCATTTGATCCCCCCTTTCTCCTCCAAACTTCTACTCCTCATCATCTTTACCTGAAGTCACTTTCCTGATCCTCCCCCTCACATCATGCAGGAGACGGCAAGATGTTCTTCTGCTCAACACAGCGATGATGAAGGGAGAATGGTTTCAAGCTCAACAGGTCATGGTCAGGGGAGAAGGAAAGGGCAGAAGCTTTAGGGAGAAAGGAGGAGGAGGAGGAGGAGGAGGAGAAGGAGGAGACTATTTCGATGGTGTTGTTGGGGGGGCAGGAAAGTTGACGAGGGGACGGGAAGAGGAGCTGAAGAGAATGGGAGGAGGAGCTGGAGGGAGCTGGAGGAGGATCTGAAGAGAACGGAAGGAGGAGCTGATTTTCCTGTGCAGGAGTTTCTTTCGACCCCTGTCGTGCTGCCTGGAAGGAGGTATGCACCAGAAGTGCCGCACTGCGACGAGCACGTCTATAACCTCCGCTGCTTCCTCGAGGCGAACCTTGGGAGAGGGGAGGAGGAGAGGGAGAGGGGACAAAGGAGGGACAAGAGGAGGGACAAGAGGGGGAAGGAGGGGAGGACAAAGGACAAGAGACAGAGGAGGAAGGAGGACAGGGAGGAGGGGGCTATGGGCAGGAGGAGGATATTCCTGTTAGGTAGGCGACCTCCCTCGGACGATTCATGGCAGGTGATACAAATGTTACTGCCTCACTTTCCCTTCCCTTCCCCCTCTTACGATCGTCCTGTTCACTCCTTCCCTCCTTCGCTCCCTGCTTGCCTGCCTGCCTCGCTCGCTCGCTCGCTCGCTCGCTCCTTCCCTACCTTCCTCCCTACCTTCCTCCCTCCCTCCCTTCCTCCCTCAGTCAGTCAGTCAGTCAGTCAGTCAGTCAGTCAGTCAGTCAGTCAGTCAGTCAGTCAGTCAGTCAGTCAGTCAGTCAGTCAGTCAGTCAGTCAGTCAGTCAGTCAGTCAGTCAGTCAGTCAGTCAGTCAGTCAGTCAGTCAGTCAGTCAGTCAGTCAGTCAGTCAGTCAGTCAGTCGGTCGGTCAGTCAGTCAGTCAGTCAGTCAGTCAGTCAGTCAGTCAGTCAGTCAGTCAGTCAGTCAGTCAGTCAGTCAGTCAGTCAGTCAGTCAGTCAGTCAGTCAGTCAGTCAGTCAGTCAGTCAGTCAGTCAGTCAGTCAGTCAGTCAGTCAGTCAGTCAGTCAGTCAGTCCATCCCACCATGTCTTTTCTTCTCCACTTCCCTCCTCCTTACTCTTCCTCCCAGAAGGAGTTTGAGGACTGGCCGTTTGGACTGGCAAGAGAAGTGTTTTTCACTCGGAAGAGAAGAGGAGGAGGAGGAGGAGGAGGAGGAGGAGGAGGGAGGGATTGGTTCAAGAAATGGGCGAATGAGAGCATGGCTGCACTTTCGTTGTCGCCGAGGTTTGAGAGGAGGAGACGTCGGCTGCTGGAGGAGCGAGAGGGGAACTACTTCTCCCAGCGGATCGAGGCATGGCTGGAGTCGCAGGAAGTTTGTGCGGACGATGGGAGGAGAGGAGGAGGAAGGGAGGGTGGGAGGAAGGAGCTGCAAGGGGGACGGCAGAACGAGAGAAAGAAGCTGAGCAAGGAGGAGGCAGAGGTGGCAGACCAGAAGGAGAAGGAGCAGGAGGAGCAGGAGGAGCAGGAGGAGCAGGAGGAGCAGGAGGGAGGAAGGGAGCTTGACAATTGGGAACGGGCAGCGGAAGAATCCTACCTCTCCTCCCTCACTTTCACCTCGAAGTTCTTCATCTCAGCACTGAGAGACGAGCATGCTTCTCTGTCCATCAGCAGCAACGACACGGCGATCGCAGCCATGGCGGAGCGAGTGAGTATGGCGACGGCGAGGACGATGCCGTATCAGTCGGCGTCGCACAAGAACATGGGGGCGTTCTACCAGCACCTGATGAATGTGATGGAGCAGGACAAGGTCAGGAGCCGAGGAGGGGAGGAGGGGAGGGGAAGAGGAGGAGGAGGAGGAGTAGGAAGAGGAGGAGGAGGAGGAGGATGAGGAGGAGGAGCGAATGGGATTGTGGAGGGTCAGGATGGAGAATTGGAGGAGGAAGGGGAGTGGAATTACCGAAAGAGAGGGGGAGGTGGCTGGGAGGAGGAGGGGAGGCAATGAAAGAGGGGGAGGGATAACATCTTTCCTTCATGCAGATCTCGTACATCAAGAAAATGGTCACTTCCTATGAGAATTTCATAGCGGTGCCGCCCTTTTCCTCGACCTCGTCCCTGTTCTCCTGTCCGTCCTCGTCTCCTCCTCCTACATGATTCCCTTCCTCCCTCCTCTTCTCTCCCGCTCACTCTCCCGTGCTGATCCTCGCAGCTGTTGACCGACCAGCAGGTCGCGACTCTGAGGAGGGAGGAGGACGAAGACATCCGCGTCCTAGGGGAGTGGGTGGAGCAAGTGAAGGACTGGATGTCACAGCAGGCAATCGTTTAGCCCTCCAGCAGCAGCAGTTCGCGGATACGCGTGACCTGAGGAGAAGTGCTGTGTCAGGGGGGAGGGAGAAGGAGGAGGAGGAGAAGTTGCGGTGGAGAAGGTGAAGGGGGGGGGCACGAGCACGAGCACGAGCTCGAGCGCGAGCAGCGAAGGCAGAGGACGGGGACAAGGACGAGGAGGAAAGGAAAAGTTGGAAGGTGGGGGAGGAGGGAGAGACTGAGGAGGAGGAGGAGGAGGAGGAGGAGGAGGAGGAGGAGGAGGAGCAACGAGGCACGGGGTTGAGGAGGAAAACCTTGGAAAAGTCGGAGAAGCTTCTGACATTCTGATCGCCGTTGCGGAAATATCTCAGCTCCTGGATGGGTTGGACGACTCGGGTGGTGCTGGCGAGAAAGGCACCGGCCCAGGAGTTGGCATCGATCTGAACAAATCGTTATGAAGGAGGAGGAGGAGGAGGAGGAGGATCATAAAATAGTTTCAGAGGTGAGATGAAAGAGAACGATAGCGACATCATTCTGCATGTGTTTGAGATAAATCAGGCAAGACATGTGTCTGCCTGCCCGCCTGTCCTCATCTCTGTGAATGGATGCATGTTTGTGTTCACTTACCAGCTTTGGTTTCTCGAATCTTATCGGCACGCCATGGCGCTTGCAGACGTAGACGAGCAGCGCACGAACATGTCCGTAGAGAATGTCCCTGTCCTGAAGACAACATCATGGGGGATGCGGGCAACTTGGATGTCAACAACAGCAACGAGACAGGAAAACGTTCCGAGGTACACGAAGAGGAAGAGCGAGTATGACAGGATATGGAAAAACAAGGTGAAATGAAAGATATAGCAAAGAAAGGAAACGGGCAGGCACGAATGGAGAGGCCAGCCGGCAAGCATGCAGGGGGGGGAGAGGGAGGGAGGGAGAGGGAGAGGGAGAGGGAGAGGGAGAGGGAGAGGGAGAGGGAGCGGGGGGAGGGAGCGTCTCCTTACCGATGTCACAACACACCCATCGCTATCAATAACGAAGAAGTTGGTCACCAGCCCCTCCAGCAGACCCTTCACCCTCCTCGTCCTGGAAGCCGCACACAATCATCCTCTCCCTCCTCCTCTTGTCCAAGTTCCTCT